GCTTCAACGTCCCCTTCGTCCGCCTTTCTTCCTCGTTAATCTGAAAGGCTGAAGGAAGTGGGATGAGAGGATTTCGTGCGTGGCTTCCTGCTCTTTCGCCGTCAGTTTCGCTTTTCCTGCGAAGCAGCGTTTTGTGAACGTCGTCGTGCATTTTTATCCAGAGTTTCTCTCTCTCTCTCTCTCCTCCCGCCGCAGAATTATTGAAACTCACCCGCTTTTTTTCGGAGCATTTTGAGACCGCCAACATTAAAAAAATAATAATATTGGAGCACCAACTCCATGCTAGAAACATACTCGAAGCACTGTCTGAAACCGGTGACGCAATTGGTAATGCGATAATGTATGAAATATGGTTATTGCCAGCAGTTGCCATGGCAACAACTTCCGTTGTCGACATTGCCTCACTCATCATCATCATTGTTGGTTGTGAGCACGCGGAAGGAATTCAGTACGATGCTATTCGTATCGCCGAAATTTGGCCTCAGAATGTGAAAATGGCAAGCATGCTTTCGATCAATTATAAGGGGATGGGTTTCGTCTTTAGGGAAACCCCAATCGCCTGTATGCAAATGTCCAGTGAGTTCCGCTTAAAGGGGAGGGGGGGGGGAGGGTCCCACCCTTCCTGAAGAAAAGAGCTAGGGCGAAGGTGTTGCTTAGATGTAGCATAGCGTCTGCCCCACCCCTCTTTCTCCTCAGGGCTGACTCCCGACTGGAATGCATTTCTTAAAAATCCATCTACCTTCGTCGGGTCTCTCATCTGATCGAGGAGAAAGAACTCCCCCCCCCCCTTTTTTTTACACCTACACTTTCCGCGTTTTGCATGCTTCGCCTCGAGACATCGGCGTGGTCATTCCGTTTCCAAGCATTATGTCGTCGTCCATATTAAAAAATATATATATTTAGCTAATTTGGATGCGAACAGGGTCTATCGATAGTCAGATATCCACCCATACACGGGAACGAGATTTTGGCGTCTCTTCAGTACGACGGCCAGCATGAAACTCCGAGCCAAACATGCAATTATTCGGTTCCTGATAGGAGGGTTTCTGCATTAATTTCAACTCTGAAATATGTTTCCAGTTGGGCTTTCAAATATTTCTCCATCGAAGAGACCGGACTGGGTTGATACTCAAAGCGAACGTGACTCTAATTGCTGTGGTACGCACTGATTTCATTCGCATTGATTTCATTCGCATTGATTTCATTCGCATTGATTTCAATACATTCGAAGATGATGAATGGTGGTCGCACCTTTGAAACTTTCTCGATGAAATGAGGGCCATGATAGGGCCAGGAAAAAAAAACGGAGCTGTTTTCATTGTGGAAAGCTGTATGGCTCGCCGAAAAATGATTCCACGATACCCGTCTCATTGAATTGACTTTTCTCTATTCGAATCCGAGGTGAAGAGATAGCTTAGGTTCTCTATCGGATCCTGTTGCCACTGTGTTGCAGGCCGAGATGTGTCTTGGACGCGATATCGCAGAAATATTCTTGAACAAACATTACACGACGCACTAGAGGGTCTTCATTCTCGATTATATGCCGTGGAGCATACCTAGCCGTTTACATGGACAGGTCGTCGAATTCAGAAGTGATTTTCGAGTGAAGTCGTCATTTCCACGCCACGGAAGGAAAAGGCCTTCATTGTCTGGTTTCTTCGTGTTTCTCCTTCCCTTCCTCCCCTATCTAGACGATGATTCCTCGAGAGGGAATGCTCACCCTCTCCGCTCTTCACATCCATGGAGGCTCTCGCCACGACCATCCTGGGTGACCGGTCAATAGGGAACAAGAGGAGGTCGGGTCTCATTTACACAGCCTATTCCTCGATTGCTTGGGACACGTTCGCCACCAGGCTTAAGAGAATGCAATCAGACCGTTATAATGGGACTCTATGGCGCAAAATTTTTGCTCGATTTGCATGAAAACGCGCACAATTTAGGAAGAGCCACTTGGTGTATTGGCTCGTGATGAAAATCTCTCTGGGTTGACTTCGTGGTTTTGCGATCGATTCTGCCGTTTTTGAGATACTGATATTAAGTACTGACCAGTACTTGGTAATGAACTTGGCACTTCACTCAATGGAAGGAGCTTCGAGTCCGTAATTCATATATATACTAGTATTGTTTACAGGGATGAGAGGATTATTTTTGCGAGAGAGCGGTTTTCGATCTTCAGGCTGGAAATTAAGGGTAGAGCTTACACTTAACGTTCTAGCGAGACCCGTCGTTTTTACTTAAGAGCGGCAGAATAGGGGAATCTCTTCGTAGAGGAGTCGGCGTATTTAGGGAAGTTCTCATGAGTTTCATATTTTCCGATATGCAGTCAACTCTGGTTAATCCGAATGCCAGTAATCCGGATCTCCAGTTGATTCGCACACGAGGAATGTTCCAGGCAGAAGTCCCATAGAACCGATAATGAACTTCTCTCTTAATCTGGAAGTCGTTATTCCGTATTTTCCGTTCATCCGGAAGAGTCTCATTATCCCCTGAGCCGTTTCCACCCCGTTAATCCGGACTTTCCGGCAAAACACCTACGATACAGCAGAAAATAATAGATTTCCCTGCCTTTTACAAAGTCTCTACTTTCCCTCACCCTTGGATTTAAAGAAATAAATATAACGAAAAAACGTTCCATCTCCCCAATTTCCTGGAATCGAGTAATGAGGAGCGAGCTTCCCATCGTCATGTCACTCATCCTCTCCCAGTCGAATCCGTTCTAGCCATTAGAGGCACGAGGAGTGTCTTGCCTCTCGTAAGTGTCCTTGGCCTTGCCTCCCGTAAGTGTCCTCGGCGACATCCCTCGCGGGAGGAGGAATTGCGAGTTTTGAAGCGATATGACTTAGACCTCGTCCGCGCCAGAAAGTTTTCTATGCCTGATTTGTTCGCTATACTCGGCAGGTACTCGATAATCCGGATGAGCCGTTAATCCGGACAAAATCGCCAGTCCCCTCGAGTCCGGATTAACGAGAGTTGACTGTATCTGTATTGCACGGTTTCCCGTGCCAAAGAAGCGCTTCGCCACCCCGTCTGCTTGCGCAGAATGCCCTTCATTCGGCACTGTTACACCCCTAGAGTGTATGTCAGTGGTTCTCAACCTTCCTTTTACTCCCATTGAACCTTCATGCATTTGGGGGGTGACACCTCCCAGGTTGCGAACCACTGGTGTATTTAGATGCCTCTGGAGAGGCCTTCGATGCCTGGAGAGTTTCCAGGTCGTTTGCTCATCCGATTTCATGCAATTCTTCGGGATGCATTCCTCCGTAAAGCCCTACGATAACGCATAGAACGCCCCTCATTGCTCTTCTACCGTTTGTCGACGAGACCTTCCCCCCAGTCGACACCTCGAAATTAACCTCCCAATAAATTTACTAAACCTTTGTCGGGTTTACATTACCCATCGTCCGCTCGATATTCCACGTAATCGCGCTGTGGTCCGAGTCCTGAACCTCAACATTTAGTGCCAGATCGTCGTTCGTCGCGAAAACGAAATCCAATAAAGCTTCCTCGCGAGTCGGTTCTCACGCGTCCTGAACGAAAAGAGAATCCTGAACAGAAACGAGATATCCATTATCCCTATCCGAGATATATGAGATATAGATGAGGAAAAAAAACTGAGATACGGGAATGGGAAAATGAGGCAATAGATTCCGGTAAATGCAAAGAAAAAAACCAAAGCAGTAATATCCCTCGTCTCCCGTAGGAATTCCTCGGCTCATATTAATTCTATGAAGTAATGTGAGGACCATTCTTTCCAGGCTTTCCCTTTCTCCAACGCAGCACACCCCCCCCCCCCAGATATCTCTATTATTCATACACATCGATCGGCCACTGCTAACCATCGTTTTAGTCTCAGCGCAGCACAAAAATGTCTCATACATTAAAAAAAAACCAAACAGAAGATCCAGAGACAAAGACCTCAGTAGTCATGAATAATTAGGACACGACATCCGGCATCACTGGGGGACGGGACCGGAGCCGGCCGCGCTATGCTGGCCGTCCAATGGGCATGAAATTTCAAAAAGATTGCGTGAAGATGTGATGGTTTGGAAATCGATATGAGAAGAATGATCACAGAATCGGAAATATTTGCAAGATTAGTAGAAGAAAATCACGGCAAAAATAATTGTCACGTGTGGAAGGGGAAATCCAGTGCCATTGGAAATTCTGATTTCGATGGACAGGTCGCGAAGAAGCATGACGGTGGCGCCGACGTTGAGATCATGGGGCGATAAGCCATTTGGGTTCGACGAATATGAGGAACTCGACGGGGAAGTTGACCTCGATCGTGGTCCCCGATCTGCCACTGTCGGCGGTCTCGTACGTTCTCGACCGAACTCTTCGTTCGCCGAATCGTCTCTTAAGCAAAGATCGGGGAGACGCGCGGAGATTTCAGCGCTGCGCGCTTCCTCGTTCGACTGCCACCTCTATTTGGCCAACCGCTTGGCGCTAAAACGCTGATTGAGCATCGCCATCGTTGCCGTGGATCCGATCTTCGATCGACTCGTATTTCACTGCGGGAAGTCCTCGGCATCTGGAGGCACGGGCAGTCCTTTCTCGGCGCAGGATGTCCCACCAGCTCGTAACATCCTTCCTGTCTCACTCGGCACCACCGCGGACATCGTCTTCAGTCGTAGCGTGGCGGTGGCCAGTAGAGGTTTCGTGGTCGAGCTCATGGCATCGATTGGCATGGCCTTATGGGCCTTGCGTGTTGGGCCGTAGACGAGTGGATCCATTCACCACCGCTTCCGGTCTCTATCAATTTTTATGGCCTGGCCGATGGCACAGAATGGCAGAGCCTTGTCGGCATGGCGCTTTAGGCCGAGGATGGCCTGGCCGATGGTCTGGAATGGCATGGCATCGTGGGCCTCGTGCGTTAGAGAGGAGAGCCACCACAACCTTCTGCTTCTTTCAGTTCGAGTTTAAAATTAGATTAGGGGAGAAAGTGGTGCATCGCAAAAAGGGCACTTTTCGTCATCTGCAAGTCAATGTCTTTCGTTTGGATGGTCTCTTTCCTCCGAAATCCCCCAGATGGGTGAGGGTGGGAGGGGGGTGAGGGAATAGAGAGAGAGAGAGAGAGAGAGAAAAAAAAAAACAGAATGAGATTCACATCTTAAAAAGCAAGATTAAGAGTTTTCCACATCCCCGGGGAGATAGAGCCTCAAATTTGCTGGAGCGATTTGTGTGTTGAGAGCGGAAGAAGCGAACTCAATTTCGTTCGTTTCGATGCTGGAAGAGCGAAGACGAGGAGGTCGAAGAAAGATAATAGATGTCTTATCGATGTCTTTCATCGTCCGATGGAGAAATGAACGCCACGTGGAAGCAAAAACAGAACGTTCCCGTTACGAAGGTGGCACAGCAAACGTTCTCGACTGGCCAGTAGGAAAAAGCCGAGTCGAATGCAGCCGACGAGAAGACGCTGGTTGCCACGCGCGACACGAGCAACTTAGACGCCGCGATCGCGGTCTTCGCCTGCACTCTTAGAAAATTCCGAGCGTTTGGGGTGTAAAAAGTGAGCACACCGTGAGCTTTTCGAGTTTACTCTCTTATTACTCACCAGATGCTCCCTCATCGCTCGCATCGAAGTGAACACCTTGAAGTTCTTCATCAGGCCGCTAGATGGAGGTAAGGGTCTCGCTTTTCGCACGGTACACAAAAATTCCCTTCTCTCTTTCCCTGGAATCGTCCCTCGCAGGATTGTTTAGCACCTTGACATATGTCTCGCCTAGTCTCATCGTAGGAATCAATAAACACGGACACTTCATCGTTTGGTATCCACACATTCAAGAAATATCCATGGAGTCCAGGCCATAGACAAGCTCATATTCCTATCGAGAATCCTTTTGGAATGCGTCAGCTTTCATTCCCATAGAAGATCTGGAATATACAGAGAGAGTTTCTGAACATCATTCCGTTCACGCCTCAATTAAACGAGGTAATAAGGAATCGTTATCACCGACACTTTACGGCACCTATAAGAGGTCGTCCACCCTCTGCCATGTCCTGTATTCAGTACAGGCAGATTTATATCAAAGCCTGCAGGAGAACGGAACGGCACACAGTATATGAGAACTTTCGTATTTCCATAACATTCCTATCGTTTTCTAATGGGAACGTATTTACTCACGGAGGAGGAGAGCAATTTTTCTCCTTGGCGATGGAGTAAATTCGCTCCTTTCCCAGAGCAAAAGGGGGGTGAAACTGGAGTTAGCTGTTTCATTCTCTTTTTTGGGAAAAATCGCTCCCCTTTTTCTAAGAGTCTGGGTCGTCGACGTTCGACCGGTCGCAGGCCGAAGACCGTTCGCTTCCGCTGCCTCTGGATTTGAGGCAGCGATTACGTACAACTCCATGCCTCGAGTGACAAGATTAGTTCGTGAATTAAATGATGTTGCCCTCTGTGACCTTGAACTGTGAAGGAAGCGATTGAGTTTCGGGGATCATCCACGATTATCTACGTTTCGGAAACCTAGATGAGTCATCACTCGCCGTGACCCGACGCATCCGCCAGCTCAACGTCGACGGACTGCCGACCGGCATCACAGACCTCCCTCGTCGAAGGGTAAAGGTCGATGCGAAGAACGGAGACTACATTGCGGGGCTGGAACGGTCTTTCCCGCTCAAGGTAAGTTTTTTTTTTCCGGCATCAATGTGCATTACTCATCGGTATCTCTACATGCTCGTGTCATTGCCGAGAGGTAGAAGACTTACGTGACAAGGGTCTTTGTTTCTAATCACGATCAAGCACGCATTCTCTTACATATCCTCATTTGATTTTTCCCCCAAATTTATTCTCCAAGTCTTGATCTAGGGCAGTGGTTCTCAACCAGTGGTCAGCGGACCACCCAATGCACCTAAACCTTCTATTGGAGTAAAAGGGAGTTTGAGAACAATTGATCTATAGAGATCGACTCTTCAGACAACTAAGTCTGAGAATTTTCATGCCACATATCACTCTCAAGTTAAATCGTCTAACCGACCCACCGTCATATAGTAGAAAACATCGTGACAACACGGATGAAATCCATTTGTGCCGGATGACCCGAACGGTCGCGTCCTGGAATTCGCAACGAATCACAGCGAGTCATTTTTCGTAAACGAATTTCTTCCGAGAAACCCGCCCAAACAGCATGTTTCTGTTAATTTTACGTAAACTGAATGTAAATTTTTTGTCCATTTTATATCATTTTTACGCAAACCATTGTCAAGATAATGCCAACATGTTTGAAGAAATGTCACCAAATCGCAAGAAATTTACATTGTTTGCAAAGAATTGATATCTTGTTTACGTAAACATGCTGCTTGGGCGGCTTCCTCTCCAACCCTTCAGCGATCCCCATCCCTCCGATGCATGTGAAACATTTGTGCATTATGCATGGGGAAAGTGGAGACGCCCTTTCCGAGGTCATCCAGTGTATCACGATGGAATTTCTATTGGAATGTCAGGGAAAAAAAAAACTCGAGACCATTCTTGCGCAGACATAACTATTTCCAAAAATGTCATCGTAAAGGTCGCTTGAAAATAAAAAAAAGCCTTTTTCAAAACCGAGTGTAACCGCGTGTAAATGACGAAAACGGGAATGGAACCGGATGGGAAGGCAGATAAGTATCTGCAGAGGAAGGGGAGAAGCAAGGCCACGTCGTATAGCTCAAGGGGGCAGGAAGGGTATAAAAGCTGTTGAAATTCCCTTCGAGGGCACAGTCCTCTTGCTTGCTTCGACCATCGTCTGGATCCTTCACTCGCGATCGGCTCCACTTGTGAGTTCTTTCTTTGTGATATTATTGGTGATCTGGTAATTAGGAACGAGGCTTGTAGGCGCTGCTGAGGTCTTGGAAGAACATCGGTTCGATCCATTGCGATATTTCGTGGAGAATGAATACTTCTTGTTTTGCATGCAAGCGCACTGTCTCGTCACTTTCGTGCAATGCACTCATGGGCGGCCTTGGCTAAGTTCTAGGACATCGAACGCGAGAACCCCTTCTGAAATCGTCCAGAACACCGGGATGGCTGCGATCGATCGGCGCTAACATGAAGGCAATGAACTGCCTTTGCTATCGCCGGCAGTGTCTAGGGGAATTGCGCCAAGGGATACAGTAAGCAACAAAATTAATGGTCCTGGATTTTCTCGAGTTATAGGGAAACTACGCGGGTAAAATGCTGTCTAGTACAGTTGCACGTGAGTGTCTTTCGCATATAAAAGGAGTAACAACAGTAGCTTGTTGCATCCCATTTTTGCAGGCGTCCGTTTCGGTGTGTGGAAAAAGGCCACATTCGGTGAAGAATTGCTATACGATAGTCTCTCCCCTTAGGTCCGAAGCTCTCCTGCTGCCGTCGACGTCGTCGAAAGTGGACCGACAGACAGACTGACAGACAGGCTCGCCCAAGGAGCGAAGAAGCCCTCGTCGACCGAGATTGCAGCAGGTTTGGATAGGGGAGGATGCAGGATTCCCAACGCACTATTCAACGACGGTAGCATAAATCGGGATGCTTTATGGTCCTGTCCTAAAAAAATCCCCTGCTCGAATACGATCACCGAAAACGGCGGCTCTTTTGGCTGGGCCAAAAAGCATGGTCCCAGATGATGAAGACTACCATCGTCCCGAATCGCCCGTTTTTGAGGGTTCGACAGTTTCCAAGGAGAAAAGTGACCGTTCTGACTGCCAAACACCATGTTTGTAAAGTGCATGTTTGCGGCTGCTTCTCTTCTGGGGTGCTCGTGGAGATGTGCACCATCCCCCAGAACCAGGATATCTGTCTGCCGAATGCCCTCTATGGGCGTGCCGTCTTGTCTTCTGCAGCCACCATGTCTCCTGAAACAATGAAGTTCCAGGTGCTGCTGGAGGACAATGATACGAGGCACACCTCAGAGCAGGCCACCAACTGGAGAGTCGAGAATGGGATCTCTTATAGACTGGTCGTCGCAATCCCCGACCTCTTTCCCATAGAAAAAGTGTGGACCTTCGTGAAGTTCTGGGGTGCTGATGCTCTACTTGGAACAACCAGTAGCTTAGAAGTAGGGAGGGGTGGGATCTGAGCGAAGACTTCGCGAAAAATTGGCTTCTCCTCTTTTAAGAGAGCATGTAGGAATTTGGTGAAGACCAGCTGCATATTCTGGACGCAGGTATGAACTGAAGCAGTTATGAGTCTGAATGGAGTAGGTATGTTATTAAATTTAGGATGTTCAAATAAACCTCCTTCCCATTCTTTTTGTTTATCTGTCGATCAGAGGACAGTTAAGACAGTTGGTTTTGGTTTACGTCCACAGGCTCGGATTACAACCCATGATTCAATTTACCCAGTGATTTCTCCTAGATTGTATAAATTTCTTCACTCTATTCTCATCGAGCGAAGGATTGTGGAAGGATCTTTCAGGCACGGGTCCCACAGGAGCTTGATTTCTTCATAGCTGTCGGTTGGAGGTCGTTAGTCCATGTCTTGAGTGTGACAAGATTAGTTCATGAATTAAATGATGTTGCCCTTTGTGACCTGGGACTGTAAAGGAAACGATTGACTTTCGGGGATTATGAAAATGATTGCGTGAAGATGTGATAGTTTTGAAATCGATACGAGAGAAATGATCACAGAATCAGAAATATTTGCAAGATTAGTAGAAGAAAATCACGGCAAATGTAATTGTCACGTGTGGAACGGGAAATCCAGTGCCGTTGCAAATTCCTCAGCTGTCTAGTACAGCTGCACATGAATGAGGTCGTTTGCTGTCCTTAGCATCGTCAATTCCATTTTCACCTTGCACTGGTTGCCATCTTGCAGCATAAGCGTAAGCTTTCTCACGGTAATAGTGTGCAGTTGTGGTGATCATGGGAATGACTTAAGCTCTGGCTTCCTTCAACCAACAAAAGCTATACTCTTTCATAAGCTACTGGGAAATGGGCGGAGGGGGGGTGGGGGTGAGGGTGGGGTTTGGGGTTGGGGTTGGGGTTGGGGTGGGGGCCAGGACAAACACCACCTACCCTGGCTACCTCACTAGCCTACCCTATAGCATTTCTCACGAGTCGCCACTGTCATCCGCGTCGACTTTTCGGCCTGCCTGATCTGAAATTCTGCTGAAAGGAAAATGAGAGCGTGGCTCCGCCTCGAAAAGGGGCTCGAGATTCCAGGCCATTTTCCTCTTCTGAGGAGGGGATACCCCACTCTTCAGTTTCTTTTCTGGAAATATGTATATTATGCTAACGGTAATGATCACCGCGAATAGTTAACCTGAAATAAATATATATATATTCGGTGGAAAAAAGCCGATATTTATATTCAGTCTTCGGAGTTTCGTGTAGGGATTAAGATACAGTGAAACCTGCGAATTCGGCTGCCTTCATCTCATGGCCATCTCTCGTTTGCGGCCAGGAGACTCTGTTCCGATCGGTTCAACAGGTTCAATGCTAAAAATGACCTGTTTCGTCTGGCCACTCTTTATTCCGGCCAGAATGCGGGAAGGAAAAATATATATCGCAGGTTGATTTCCTCTTTATTTCTTGCAGGCTCCCTCGTTCCCTCCCTCTCCCGGATCCCCGAATCGACCCGTCGACCGGCTGCCAAGATCTCGTCTCCGCGGAGTTTCGATTGCGAGTGAACGACCTTCTGAGTGTTGACCGGCCGAAAGTTCTTCTGTGTATCTTGCTCCCCTTCGAACAAAATCATGGACTCGTAAACATCTCTATCGAACATCAGCTGCATCTGACTGTTCCTTTAAAAGTTATGACCAAAAAACTTAAATTCTTAGGACAAAATCCAACTTTGTTCGACCATATCTTTTGGAAAAACTCTCAGATGCAGATGATAATTGGTAGAGAGTTTCATAGGCCTAAACCTATTTTTTTTTCCAGTAGCTAAAAAATGACAGCTAGTATGTAGATGTCGCTGCTGTCGACATCATCGCCCTCTATCAGCAAGCAGCGCCACCTAGCGGCATGGAAAAAAAACCTCATATCCTTAACCATCAATACGCAGTCCATATAGCGCGTCAAGCGTTGACGCTCCGGAGACCCAATGCCCTTCTACAGTAGCAATGCTCAAACTGTTTACGCATGCGCCTCTTTTTTCTTTCTGAAAGTAGTGACTTAACATGAGCCTGCTACTTTGCTGAAGTACTGGTGTGTACTTTTTCCGGGAAATGGAGCCGTTCTTATGGGAAAAGTTTTCCTTTGACGATGAAGTTCGTGTTGAACAACGAGAATTTTCGCGGATTTCTTGCCAATCCTCTTCGATACTAAGACAGGGATTATCGACGGGAATGAAGACTCGAGGGGGACGAGCATGCGATCCAAATCCTCATTAGATTTTCTTCATAAAAAAAAATTGCCGAAATCGCGTTTCCGTCAGTGGGGAACGAAGATAGCAAGGCAATAATTGCATCTTGCATTCGCCGTCTTCCGGATCGATCCTCGAAAACTCCAATGACTCTAAGCCTTTTAATTCCTTAATTATTGATTTAACGTCACAGCGGCATACCGCGGAAGAGGCCAAAGCTAATGCACTTCTCGGTCGCTCCACCGCCTCCCCCCTGTCACGAAACGGGGGAAGTCGCGACTCCACCCGCAATAACGGCATTTGCATCTAGCGGATGATCGCAGACGCCGGTTTCTTGTGACTGATGGAGGCCTGCGCGGGTCGACTTTTCCGAATCCGACTCGATCGGGAAAATTCTCGTGTTTGTCCTTAATCAACCCTCACCTCCATTTCTAGGTTGGCTTCGCGGGTCGAGCCGCGAGCATCGGGTCGGTTTTCCGGCCCGTGCAGGGCTCTCAGCAACAGTGTTAAGGATCTCCGGTGAGATCCCAACCCCAACTCCAAACCCCTCAATTAGGAAACCATGCAAGTTTCATGGGTCACAGTACAATACAAAAAAAACATGCATTTTCCCGAGAGGCAGGCGATGAAGCTGGACGACGTCTGAGAAAGAAACTGGCATTGGAAAAGAAGAAATTCTTCTACATTCCTAAATGACGCTCGAAAAGTAAAAATGTCGCGCTGCTTTTGGAAAATATTACTTGCTTTACTAATTAGGATTTTTGTGGATCGATAATTGAGCAGGAAAGAGAAGAGACGTACACGAGACGCAAGTACTATATTTTAAAACTGAGATATTAATTGAAATTGTTGAAGGTTTTTGGGCTACCCTGTAGATTTCTTGCTCTGCGGAATGCACACATTTTCCGGAATGAGTTGAGGAAAGCCACCGACCGGGACAATCACCTTGGAAACTACGCCTGAGACCAAAAGCGAAGACGCTGAGCCGGCGAATTTTCCACATACCTGCCCTTAAAATAAAACGGAACTCGAGAGGTGCGCTCCATTCCTTTCCTAACCGGCTCACACGCTAGTCTTCGTGCCTCTTCGCCCCATCGAGTCGCAGAGTGTTTCCCGTGCCACTTTTCAGTATTTTCTCCATTCTTAGAAACGGCGTTGAATTGGCGTAGTTTACCTTGAATTTGAGTACTTTACCTCGAGTTTACCACGGATTTCAATTGCAGAAATGGAATGCTTGAAGAGAGCGATATTCATTCTGAGTTGGACCCAAGTGCTCTGTCAGTCGGGACGAGAGGCCAGCCCTGAAGTCTCCCCCGATCGAGACAAGCATGACCTCATGCTGAGCAATCTCCAGTTCCCCATCCAGCTGTATCGGGTAATTCCTTCCTTTCTGGCTTTTATGTTCGTCCCAGGCATTTTCTCACCACGTGAAGGCATAATTTCTTATCCTACTTTTTGCACTCATCGGACTAGGGCTTGTAAAACTTCATTTTTCTAACGTGACGCATTTTAGAGAGGAATCACCTTTAATCCCCCATCATTGCTGAATCATTATTGTCGAACGACGACCTGTCCTCCATCATCTACGATTACGAAACTTCTCAAGTCCTGTTCATGGGTCGAATCACGGATCCCCAGACGGATCACTGATCGACCTCCGGCGTTACCTGCTCCTTATTGGCCATCGTGGTCTCAGCCAAGGTAATATAATTTTCGTAAGAAATGCGATCGTAGACTGCCATTGGCATTCTCAACGACTGTGAAAATTTGACCATCCGCAGCACTTGAATATCCACACTCCGATCTCTCTTCTAGCGGCGTCGGCTGGAGACCTCCAATGAGAGAGTAACATCGCGGAACCCAATTCGTTCCGCAATATCTGCTTCAGTCACGAAGGTGATATACGTGCCCTACGTGCATCCTAGCTTCCATCACTTCCGGCCTAACCCAACATATAATAGCAAGAAAATGGCGAAACGAAGGAACCATTATTCATCCACAGTTAAAACGACCGGTCTTACCACGAAGTTTAGGAATAAACTTGAATATTTCAAACGATGGTCTTAAATTTTTTATCTACACTCCTTGCCAAAAGAAAACAATACCAATATAAAGGGTACATTAACTCGCAGACCTGTTGCACAGATGGTTTCAGTTGCAAGCACCTAAGTAAAAGCATCGCAGAAAATTCATAAAAGGCTACAGGACCTTTCAGGTCAATCGACTTCAACTAATATGACACAACTAGTGGTGCCACTTCGTGTTCGGATTTTTTTTGTGTTTTATTTTCCTCAAAGTAATGGTGATCCTTGTGGAAAAGGTAAGGCTCCCACAACTAATATTTTTCAAGGCAATAATTGATTACAAATGGGATATCGCGCTTAATATCCTTCCTCAATGCGCATGCAGATCTATTGATCGCTTTGCGAATACCATGGAGTCGTGAGACACTGTTGTTGAAACATCTCATGATCGATCAACGTTGAGAAATTGTCTCTGTTGAATGGAAAATATGAATCTGATTTAAAAAGAAATAGGTGAAAATGGAATGAAATGGAATTTCATGTGAGTCGCGAAGACTCTTCGACAATTCATTGAATACAATTCACAATATGAATGATCTCATTCAAGTGCTCCAGGGAACGTTTGCTTTCCCGCATTAATGTGAATTCCTAAAAAAAAAATTATATACATACGCTCGAAAGATCAGGTTCTCAACTGTGAAACTAGCAGCATACGATTCAGTGTGATGAACGAGTGCAGAGAATAGAC